ACGGGACGAGTTTCCACAACAGAAAGCTGTCCCCCCCTCCACCCCGTCCTGTATCGGGTCTAAAATCTGTGGCGTGGCTGTGCGCTGGACAGCAACAGCAGCAGCAGCAACAACAACGAGCAGATGCATTGTGGCTTCGCGCGGCACATCCGACCGAAGGCGACGTTCGGGGGAGATTTCATTTTTTTGCGTTCAGTTTCGGCATTGACGCCAACCGTTGAAAACGCACCGGCGCCGCGATTTTTCGTCACGAAACAAACAACCAGGCACGAATAAAATCGCAATTTGTGACGAAAAAAGATGTTTGGAAAACGTGACAGCGTTTGAAAAAATGAGAATAGGTAAAAACCAATTCATCTTTGCACCTGTTTTATTGCCAGAAAGGGTAAAACCTATTTTTTATACTTCTTTGTTTTAGTCTTCAGAGATGGTAATGGCTTTGAGAGGGTGGGGGGAGCTGGCTTTAATCTAGCAGTGGATTGGTCATGGCTGAGGATAATGATTGTGACTTACAATAAATAACTGTTCATTTACTGCGCATTTCATAAACATTACCAAAGTATGTCATGTCTAAAGTCGTAAGTTATACGCCTCTTTGTAAAAGAAAAAAAAAAGTCCGATAAATGTCTTTCTTTTTTACAGCTACATTTGTCGACATATGTTTTTCTCAAGAATGTGTCGTGGTATGAGCGGTACTGATAATTCTCCCGTGGCTAGTTTCCTGATTTAAGACTCCGAATAATACAAAAAAAGGCTGCTAAAAGCCCAGTCAGAGGGCACCGTTTTCTTCAACGGACCTCACGCCGACATGTTTTTTTTTTATCGACGTACGAAGGACATTCAACAACCCCCTCCCATCAACATTCTTTGCTCGAGCAAATTATTGCACACTAAAGCTGTCCAAACGTTAATTACGCATGCATGTCACAAAACGTTATAATTCCTGGAAACAAACATGTACCATGATAATTGGTTCTTTACCCTTCTATCTGGCAACAAAACTGACACCTTTTTGCAAGGAGTCATGTTTGCATAGACCGCAATACCTGCAGTCATAATACAAACAAAAGAACATAACTCTGATAATGTGCACTGTCCTTGAAGTTGATTGGTCCACACCCGAGACAGCTTTCCTTCGAGCCTAGTCTCATATGGGTTGGACCAGATGACGCCAAAAGGCGCACAACTCAAGGACAATGCACCATCAGAGTATGAGAGCTCGGGGCAATGCATCTACACTATGGGGACCTCATTTGCCAGTAAAAATATGATAATTGGTTCTTTACCCTTCTATCTGGCAACAAAACTGACACCTTTTTGCAAGGAGTCATGTTTGCATAGACCGCAATACCTGCAGTCATAATACAAACAAAAGAACATAACTCTGATAATGTGCACTGTCCTTGAAGTTGATTGGTCCACACCCGAGACAGCTTTCCTTCGAGCCTAGTCTCATATGGGTTGGACCAGATGACGCCAAAAGGCGCACAACTCAAGGACAATGCACCATCAGAGTATGAGAGCTCGGGGCAAGCATCTACACTATGGGGACCTCATTTGCCAGTAAAAATATGATAATTGGTTCTTTACCCTTCTATCTGGCAACAAAACTGACACCTTTTTGCAAGGAGTCATGTTTGCATAGACCGCAATACCTGCAGTCATAATACAAACAAAAGAACATAACTCTGATAATGTGCACTGTCCTTGAAGTTGATTGGTCCACACCCGAGACAGCTTTCCTTCGAGCCTAGTCTCATATGGGTTGGACCAGATGACGCCAAAAGGCGCACAACTCAAGGACAATGCACCATCAGAGTATGAGAGCTCGGGGCAAGCATCTACACTATGGGGACCTCATTTGCCAGTAAAAATATGATAATTGGTTCTTTACCCTTCTATCTGGCAACAAAACTGACACCTTTTTGCAAGGAGTCATGTTTGCATAGACCGCAATACCTGCAGTCATAATACAAACAAAAGAACATAACTCTGATAATGTGCACTGTCCTTGAAGTTGATTGGTCCACACCCGAGACAGCTTTCCTTCGAGCCTAGTCTCATATGGGTTGGACCAGATGACGCCAAAAGGCGCACAACTCAAGGACAATGCACCATCAGAGTATGAGAGCTCGGGGCAAGCATCTACACTATGGGGACCTCATTTGCCAGTAAAAATATGATAATTGGTTCTATCTGGCAACAAAACTGACACCTTTTATCAGAGTTATGTTCTTTTGTTTGTATTATGACTGCAGGTATTGCGGTCTATGCAAACATGACTCCTTGCAAAAAGGTGTCAGTTTTGTTGCCAGATAGAAGGGTAAAGAACCAATTATCATATTTTTACTGGCAAATGAGGTCCCCATAGTGTAGATGCTTGCCCCGAGCTCTCATACTCTGATGGTGCATTGTCCTTGAGTTGTGCGCCTTTTGGCGTCATCTGGTCCAACCCATATGACACTAGGCTCGAAGGAAAGCTGTCTCGGGTGTGGACCAATCAACTTCAAGGACAGTGCACATTATCAGAGTTATGTTCTTTTGTTTGTATTATGACTGCAGGTATTGCGGTCTATGCAAACATGACTCCTTGCAAAAAGGTGTCAGTTTTGTTGCCAGATAGAAGGGTAAAGAACCAATTATCATATTTTTACTGGCAAATGAGGTCCCCATAGTGTAGATGCTTGCCCCGAGCTCTCATACTCTGATGGTGCATTGTCCTTGAGTTGTGCGCCTTTTGGCGTCATCTGGTCCAACCCATATGAGACTAGGCTCGAAGGAAAGCTGTCTCGGGTGTGGACCAATAAACTTCAAGGACAGTGCACATTATCAGAGTTATGTTCTTTTGTTTGTATTATGACTGCAGGTATTGCGGTCTATGCAAACATGACTCCTTGCAAAAAGGTGTCAGTTTTGTTGCCAGATAGAAGGGTAAAGAACCAATTATCATATTTTTACTGGCAAATGAGGTCCCCATAGTGTAGATGCTTGCCCCGAGCTCTCATACTCTGATGGTGCATTGTCCTTGAGTTGTGCGCCTTTTGGCGTCATCTGGTCCAACCCATATGAGACTAGGCTCGAAGGAAAGCTGTCTCGGGTGTGGACCAATCAACTTCAAGGACAGTGCACATTATCAGAGTTATGTTCTTTTGTTTGTATTATGACTGCAGGTATTGCGGTCTATGCAAACATGACTCCTTGCAAAAAGGTGTCAGTTTTGTTGCCAGATAGAAGGGTAAAGAACCAATTATCATATTTTTACTGGCAAATGAGGTCCCCATAGTGTAGATGCTTGCCCCGAGCTCTCATACTCTGATGGTGCATTGTTCTTGAGTTGTGCGCCTTTTGGCGTCATCTGGTCCAACCCATATGAGACTAGGCTCGAAGGAAAGCTGTCTCGGGTGTGGACCAATCAACTTCAAGGACAGTGCACATTATCAGAGTTATGTTCTTTTCTTTGTATTATGACTGCAGGTATTGCGGTCTATGCAAACATGACTCCTTGCAAAAAGGTGTCAGTTTTGTTGCCAGATAGAAGGGTAAAGAACCAATTATCAAACATGTACCAATTAGTACCTTGAAGATTTTTTACGTAAAACAAATTCTAATGCAAATATTTTCGAGTGCCAATGCACCCCAACTTTTCGTGAAATCCTCGAGGTAAGATTTTCCTTTCATGCTGGAGATACACGTCTGTGTTCGAGACTTTTCCAAAAATGTATAGTAAAAAAACTGTGCACACATGCATAACACATTTGAAAGTTACTTAACTGAATTAAAATCTAAATTAACAATGTTAGTTTTTTTTAACACAACCATGGTTCCAAGGTCTTGTTGGCAAAAGAGTTAAGTATCTTAATTAATAAGTACTTACAGGGTTAAATAAATGACTGATCGTGATGCCATGATGTTCCAGCTATATAAAGTAACAGTTACATCTTTTGAGATAATATTTGCCTAACATTGGCACAATGGCCCCAAATGCCGAATAACCAGGGTATAATAGGCAAGAGTTCGATATATTTCTTGAATCGAGCAAGGTTATACGAACTTGAATAAACAGATAATGGGAGGGAATTCCACAGTCTAAGTGCAAGATGAGTGGCAGATATCGAAGTGTTGTGACCTGCAGTGTGGTAGCTCAATACGCATGTGTGTTGAACTTCTTTCGCACCGTACATAGCCAACCGTGCTAATCGGCGGTGCGGGGGGGGGAGGATAACAAACTAAAGAGCAAAAAATAAATGCAATGTGGATTAAAAGGCAGTCAGTCCGCTCGATCGCGTTCTCAACACGGGCGGAGGAAACAATGAGCAAAGTTTACGGGAACCAGTCACCGTGTTAGTCGAGCTAGAAGAGGTGACAAGGAGGTGACTGACCGCTGGGTGAGCCAGTGACCAGAGTGAATCGATGAGTGCTGAATCAATCAATCTGACTGCTCCAAGTTACATTCTGTGAAAGACAACGAGGTAGGAACTGGGTGGTCTGCCCCAACTACGACAGCAGTCTTCATCATGCCAAGTGCTGCAGAGTGCCCGAGCTCGGCTTGACTGCTGTGACTTGGTTTCTCGGATAAATCTAGACGAGTCCGGCCAAGGCGGTTCAGCGGCAGATCGAGCGGCGCAGATAATCTAAAGGTTGCGAGTTCAAATCCTGCTTCGGGGGTTGACTCAGCCCATCATCTTCTGCGGGGTCAATAAAATTGGTAGCGCTTTTTATGCGGAAGTCAACAGGGGGTTGTCCTGCGGGAAAGACTCACCATTGCCACAGGGATGTGGAATTTCCACCACTGGCTTTTCAGGCCTGTGAGCAGATGGTGAGCACCACCTCCATGCACATTTTGAGCAGGGATCGATGCCTCGTTCTTTTAAAAAAAATCTATTTGGATGGTATCATCCTGACGATCAGTTTCCACTGGTAGGTATCCACGAACAATACTTGCATGGCATAAAATCCTGACGATCGATTGCTTGGTGCGCGTTTTTCCGCGTGGCCCGCAGTTCAACCGGTGCATCACGTCGCAGCTGATCAAGTGGTTCAGCAACTTCCGCGAGTTCTACTACATCCAGATGGAGAAGTTCGCTCGGCAGTCGCTGGCCGACGGCGTGTCCAACCCCGAGGAGCTGACGGTCACCCGCGACTCGGAGCTCTTCCGCGCGCTCAACCTCCACTACAACAAGGCCAATGACTTTCAGGTGAGGGCCACAGCGGCACGGAGGTCAGGGAAAATAAATCAACAAAATCAGGCCATGAATACCCAATGATGTCTTACAATGAATCACAATCAGCAACGTGGCCTTAACATTTTAACGGCGCAGCGCTGCAATTGCTTGCTCATGCCACGTGTGCTAAGGGAGGTATTTTGCCTATTCTTCCATGCTGGACAAATTACTTGGAAGCGGTGGGGAGTACCCACACTTTACCCCACCACGAGCCGCCCTGCAGGATGCTGTGACCAATGTTTGAACGACATGGGTTCGATCAAATTAACGGCAGTGTACAGACACATGGATCATACCTATTGTACTTTAAAGCAATTCACACTCGTGTGGGCCGTAGATACGAATCGGCGATGCCATTGTTTTGCCACCATGGGTGGCACCGGTTTCTGCTCTGGCCTAGGGACTCTACGGGATGATGAAACACACAGAGAGAGAGCGCGCGCGTTTGTGTGGTGGTTCCGGCACTTTGCGACGTACTTTGCGAAAGCAGTTCAACACACACACACGCACACGCATGTGCGTACGTACGGCACACACTCAGAGATGTGCTCCCGCCAGGCAGACACACGCTTGCACGACGCTTCCAGCAGGCGAGGTGGCGCATTTACACGAACGGTTTGCTTCTTGACCAATGTGTTGCGGGTTTTTTTGAAAGGGTCAAACTTAAGAGAGCGATGATTCATTTCCGACACAAACGAGACGGCTCTGACGTGAACAGTGGCACGCGCATGTGTGTGTGTGTGATTGACGTGCACATGGCCTGGCACAAGCGCCGTGGTGACGTCACCGCCACTTAGTGGTGAATGGCGGTTGTTGTGTGATCGAACACTTTTAAGTGATGCTTGTGCACAGAGACAACACGTATAAGAGGAACAGACGTCACTTTTAATCACGTTACAGCTGTTGATGCGCTTCATGTAACCACGTGAGATCCATTGAGATTGAATGTGGAATGCTTCGATGTTGTCTGTCTGCCGGTCAAGTCGTCCCTTGAAAAAAAGACCTCCTTATCTCAATGGGCTTTAGTCAGTGGGAAATACTCTTCTGATTCCGAATGCGCTCATCTGCATTTACATTGCAACTCTCTTCCTGTCTTGCAACTCTCTTCCTTTTACATTGTAAATGTTGTGGCTTGGCTCTCCAACGCACCGGTGTGCTGTACTAGTGACGAATTGGCCACGTTCTGTTTACGTGACAACCCTTACTAGTTGGCTGTGTCGGTTGAGAACTACTTTTTGTGTTTAGGTCTTTGTCCTTCCCCTGCACATCCAATTAGCACTGTTGGCTACTTACAAGTTCAACACAACGTTGATACACCGGCTGGGAAAACTTTTCCGGGGCGTCTGGGAATGCAGCGGTAACCACAACGCCTCCAACCACCCAGCGAGTCTCGCGCGCAAACTCGTCGAGCTTACACAGCAACACAATGTCACAACATCGCAAAGTAAAAGAAGAGCCGTGAACATCAACTGGAACGGATCCTTACACGGTAGCACCAGGGTGGGTATTTTCAGCTTTTAGCACTGCGTGTGCAGGATTACACGGGTGCAAGGGTGCACACAGTGTGCTTGACACAAAGACAAAGATCCCCCCCCCCGTACAGCACTAACAGACTGTTTGGGGCAAGTGCTGTTAGCGAGCACATATGAAGGCCGGCACGGCACACGAGGGGGTGCGTGGCCAGCACCACAATCGGCCGCCTTTGTCTCCCTAGTGGCGATGTTGACACACCGCTCCAGGTACTCATTTGAGGCTGAGTAGACCTAGGGGAGGCTCAGGACCGGTTCAGATAATCTTCACTGGCGTTGGCCGGGTTTGTAGCGCAGCGCGCTTACCGCTATTCTAACCACTCCCTTGGGTTACACAGGTGCAAGGGTGCACAACTGTGCTTGACACACACGCATGCTTGACACACACGCACACGCTTACGACCGCACACACCTGCACGTCCATAATAGCTATCTGGTCACGTGTCGTTGCGTCGTCAGCTAAGCCCACACACCTGTGCACGCGTTGACGGCAAGTGCCACGCAGGTGACCCCTTTATACTGGTAGGAACCTCCTGGTTACACCAGACCACAGGGGATTATTGTGTCCGTCCGTCCGTCGTGAAGGGAGAGGCTGGGTGGGGAGGGAGGGGCTTGGTGGGGAGGGGAGGGTGGGGAGGGGGTGGGGAGGGGAGGGTGGGGAGGGGCTGGGTGGGGAGGGTGGGGCTGGGTAGGGGGTGGGAGGGGTGGGGCTGGGTGGGGAGGGGCTGGTCACCCCGTGGTGCCCTTATAAAACTCAACGTTTAACTTACTCACGCCGAAGTGTGCCCGCCCTCACAGTCGGGCATATTTGCGGAATACACCACGCCGCCGTTGACCCTGCAGGCCATTGACCGAGCAACCCAACGTTTCTTCCAGCTCCCTCCGCAGGAATGTGTTTATTGCGGAGAATCCCCCCGAGCTGCCCTGTATCGGCGACGCAACGGGAGAGGTGGGGGGAGTCTTGGTTGGTGAGCGCGTTCTAAAGTGGGCTGAGAAACCGCGATGAGCGTTTCGGTTGCGATCATTGCGCAACGCGGTCGAGAGGTGGATTCATACAGCGTGTAAATGTGACCGCATCTCGAGGTGCTGCGGCCGTATCCATGTCGTATATACATCAATATGCGTAGAGAAAGAGAACGAGGCAGTCATCGGCAGAGAAAACAAAGGTCTGGAGCCTGGACTTGAACCGGGGTCAGGGAGCCAACAGCCCCGGATGCATTCGTATCTCCGGTATACGTTGTGTATATATGTATATATATGTATGTGTACACATGAATACCAACTACATCCTGGAGTCGGAGCCAGTTTCGTGGTCGGCCTAAAACAGCGGCTCTGCGTGATGAGCGCAGCGCGCCCGTGATGGACTGGATTCGTAAGAGCGCACGATGACAAATGTTCAGACCTACACATGCAACACACAATGCAGTGGCATTAATAGTAGTGACACTTTTTATAGTGCTGTAGTATAGCAAACCATTCCAAGGGCACTGAAAATATCCATACTGCATAGAACATGCGAGTGCATTGTGTTTGTATGTAAAGCGTGACGTGTGCAGCGGTGGCGTAGAGGTTATAACAGTGCGCTGTGAACCCCCGGGCACCTGAGTTCAACTCCAGGCCGATGCTAACCGCTCGTGGCGATATCCGAATCTGTCCTAGGCCACCCCACCCCTCACCAAGCACCCCCCCCCACACCCCGCCCCTCCACTGGCAAGGATGGTGAAGTATAGTCAAGAAAGGCCCACAGCCTGGGGAAGGCCTTTGTCCAGCAGTGGATTGACCAAGAAGCTATGAACAATAAGTTTAGTGATCATTGTTGTTGTTGTTGTTAACGTTTAATTCTAAAACACACAAGTGCGTTTATACAGAAACAGTACCCAAGCGTACGGCTTTGTCTACGGCTGCTAAAGTGTAAATTATGAGATTATGACCAGAAGCTGCGTCCTCCCTTCATGCCTTGCGTGTCGTATGACATCGCCACAGTGCAGCGGTATAGCCCACACAGCCTTGTTTAGACCACCAACGCATGAGACTCAAAAGTGTGGCGGTATTGATTTTGGCGGCAGCGGTGGAAGGACGAGACAACCGCATCACACGGTTTCATCCTTGTTAGGAATCATCAGTGGAATATAGTCAGCATAGACCAACAATATAGGGAATCATTTATCGTACGTTTTATTGACGTAATGTGATGCAGCACAGCTACTTTGTTTTTGGTGGTTTGGCAAAGTCCTTTAAAAAAAAGGACGCAATCTAAGCTTCGAGCTAACACCACAAACACAAAATATATATTTCAAGCAACTCTACAATAAGTAGCGTTTAAAAATATCAAACGACGTTCCGATTTAAAGTGGCCACGGTATTGGCTGTCATCAATTCAACACTTTAATCTTCACGACGACGTTGAAGAAAAGTACAGTTAATAAAATAAAAGTCTTTTTTTTTTCCCCCCATCCAGAGGCTGCAATCCTGTAATAATCCTGAAGTCTCCGCTTTGTAGTCGGGTTACAGCACGCTCGCACTGTCTCCGTGGCCCGCTTGTGATCGCAAAAACAGGCGCTTTGAAAGAAAGAAAAAAAAAATTCTCCCGCGAGCGTTTGATTCCGAAAGACGAGAGGGGATCGTCTGTCAGATAGCTTCAGTCCCCTGCCACCGCACGGGGCTGCCTAGCCGTCCCCCCCCCCCCCCCCCCAAAAAAAAGGAAAGGAATGTTTTTGTTGTTGGTGTTCTTGTAACAAAAGAAAAAAAATCCTAAATTGCTTTCATCTCAGTATAACCATTTATCTGCTTGGTTTGTTCTTCAATCGAAAACTCACCGCAACCTTCGCTGCCCCGGAATCTACTTTTTTTTTCCTTCCGTCAAATTTCGATGAAGGGCGCACGGATCTTCGAAACAGTTCTCCGATGTTTCCCCCCCCACCCCTTCCCGGTTGTCGCCGTGCGTGTTGTTCCGTCGCGACGTAGCGCGTCCGATGTTTCGCACCGCGTGCTGCGCACTGAAGAAGCTCCTTCTTATTCTTCTGGTTCAGGAGCCGAATGAAGGATCGACCCGGGTAGCGCGGAGCGAAACACTCGGTGCGTCGTTCCGATACAAACACGCGTTGGAAAAAAGCAACCGTGAACACAGTCCAGCGATTCTAGATTTGAAGCTTTCGTGACTGCAAGGATTCATACTCTTTGGGTTTTTTCGGTAAAGCCACGTAGGGAAAAAAACAATAAAATAAAATAAATGAAAACAGTTATTTTGCTGTGCCTTTTTACACATGATGAGGGAGGCTTGCGTTGCCTCCGAAACGTCGTGATTTAATTTATTTGTTTTCATTTATTTTATTTGAATTGTTTTACCTACGTGACTTTACCGAAAAAAACAGTCCAGCGAGCCACGCGGCACGACCGTGAACTGCCGCGTAATAAGTTCGCTCCAGTGTACAGGTTTCTTGTTTT